TTTTTTTTTTTTTTTTTTTTTTTTTTTTTGGTTGAGACTAATTTTATTCTTTTTATAAAAACTCGGTAAATTTCATGAATTTTCGTTAAAAAAAAATAAATAAACAAATTTATAGAAATTGAGATTGAAATATAAAAAATCGTATGACAGCGTAGTACGTGGTGGAGCGCGGGGAGCTTTTTAGTACTTCGAATTGACACACATGTCCCAAAACCGCCACGTCATAGGAATATAACATGACGAAGCTAAACCCTCGATCACTCGCCACGCGTGCTCCACGTGGCGTCATGAATTTGACACGTGACCCCGAAGCATAATCGTTCGGACTGTATTTAAGAGTCGCCGTTAATCCCGTTTGTCAAACGTCAGTATTTACTACACGAAATATTTGAGGGAAAAAAATAGAAAAGAAAAGAGTGGGAAAATGCAGTCGGGAAAGAACGCGGCGGAGTCGGTGAAAGAATCGGCCGCCAACGTGGGGGCCTCTGCGAGGGCTGGCATGGAAAAGACCAAAGCCACGGCTCAAGAAAAGGTTCGTAATTTTCTGTTTTTTTTTTTAATTATATTATTAATAATTAGCTGAATGATTTCGAGGCTAATCTCTATTTGAGAAATTATTTAATTCAATTTAACGAATAATTTAACGAGAAGTAAATGCATGCACCAGGTGGACAAAATGCGGGCCCACGATCCATTGGAGAAGGACATGGCGAGCGAAAGGAAAGAGGAGCGGCTTCACGGGGCGGAGCTCGACAAGCAACAGGCGCGTGCAGAACACGCGACAGAGAGGCAGGCCGCTTCGAAGACCGGAGCGCACACCGGTCTGACCACCGGAACTGGAACCGGAACCGGAACCCGTGCCTATGACCCGACCGTGGGCGGCACCGACCGTTGAAGCGTGCGGACTTTTCTGATTATAATAATAGCTTGTTTTGTGTTTTAATGTTGGTAATTAGTAGTTTGGTGGAACTCGTGTACGGTATATTGTGAAATAAATAAATATTTTCATTTTAATAATTATTCTTTTCGTTTAAAATTTTTTAAAAGAACTTTAATTTTTTTTCCATTTTTGTAACTTCATTAGCTTCGCAAAATAAATAGATTAATTAATGTCTATTAAAAGAAGAAATTGTAATTTATTATTATTTAATTTATTTTAATGTGATTTAAAATGCAATTAGTATTATTAAAAAAGAAATTAATGAAAAGAAGAAATTGTAATTTATTATTATTTAATTTATTTTAATGTGATTTAAAATGCAATTAGTATTATTAAAAAAGAAATTAATGAAAAGAAGAAATTGTAATTTATTATTATTTAATTTATTTTAATGTGATTTAAAATGCAATTAGTATTATTAAAAAAGAAATTAATGAAAAGAAGAAATTGTAATTTATTATTATTTAATTTATTTTAATGTGATTTAAAATGCAATTAGTATTATTAAAAAAGAAATTAATGAAAAGAAGAAATTGTAATTTATTATTATTTAATTTATTTTAATGTGATTTAAAATGCAATTAGTATTATTAAAAAAGAAATTAATGAAAAGAAGAAATTGTAATTTATTATTATTTAATTTATTTTAATGTGATTTAAAATGCAATTAGTATTATTAAAAAAGAAATTAATGAAAAGAAGAAATTGTAATTTATTATTATTTAATTTATTTTAATGTGATTTAAAATGCAATTAGTATTATTAAAAAAGAAATTAATGAAAAGAAGAAATTGTAATTTATTATTATTTAATTTATTTTAATGTGATTTAAAATGCAATTAGTATTATTAAAAAAGAAATTAATGAAAAGAAGAAATTGTAATTTATTATTATTTAATTTATTTTAATGTGATTTAAAATGCAATTAGTATTATTAAAAAAGAAATTAATGAAAAGAAGAAATTGTAATTTATTATTATTTAATTTATTTTAATGTGATTTAAAATGCAATTAGTATTATTAAAAAAGAAATTAATGAAAAGAAGAAATTGTAATTTATTATTATTTAATTTATTTTAATGTGATTTAAAATGCAATTAGTATTATTAAAAAAGAAATTAATGAAAAGAAGAAATTGTAATTTATTATTATTTAATTTATTTTAATGTGATTTAAAATGCAATTAGTATTATTAAAAAAGAAATTAATGAAAAGAAGAAATTGTAATTTATTATTATTTAATTTATTTTAATGTGATTTAAAATGCAATTAGTATTATTAAAAAAGAAATTAATGAAAAGAAGAAATTGTAATTTATTATTATTTAATTTATTTTAATGTGATTTAAAATGCAATTAGTATTATTAAAAAAGAAATTAATGAAAAGAAGAAATTGTAATTTATTATTATTTAATTTATTTTAATGTGATTTAAAATGCAATTAGTATTATTAAAAAAGAAATTAATGAAAAGAAGAAATTGTAATTTATTATTATTTAATTTATTTTAATGTGATTTAAAATGCAATTAGTATTATTAAAAAAGAAATTAATGAAAAGAAGAAATTGTAATTTATTATTATTTAATTTATTTTAATGTGATTTAAAATGCAATTAGTATTATTAAAAAAGAAATTAATGAAAAGAAGAAATTGTAATTTATTATTATTTAATTTATTTTAATGTGATTTAAAATGCAATTAGTATTATTAAAAAAGAAATTAATGGAACTGAAATTGTTTTTAACTGCGATATAAAATGAATTTCCGATAAATAGTTTTGCAATTTTTTTCCTTAAAAAATGAATTTGTAATATAATTAGAGATTTGGATGGAAATATTTTGTTTAGATGTGTGGGAAGTTGTCAGCCTTGAAGAATTAACAGAGCTAAATAGAAACAGGAAAAATATCCAGAAATTCAATTTATCATCAACGTTTGGGGAAACATGCAGCAACCCAGAGACCAAAATGATGAATATATAACTAACACAGTTTGTTTTCCCAATCTCGAATCCCTTTCGGTTTTTGTTCTTCCCAGCACTCCTGCTTAAGATTCCAATGTGCCCAACGTATGCGAACACCCAGATTGGCTGTTGAATCCCCCAACGTAAATGACCAGAAAGTAGGATTAGCTTCGTGCTGGCTAACTGGGTAGTAGCCTCAACGACTCTGTTTTCTGGTAGTCGAGGTGGCCTTGCTTCAAATGAATGGCTGAGGTGAATGGCTACATGGAGGAGTCTAACCAATATCTGTGAAGTCGGGGCCTATCGTGTCGAAACCTGAAATCGATCCCAGGATGTAGTCGTTGTCAGGGACAATCTCTAGAGTCCCTGGTTCGTCTTGTAGGAATGGATACTCATCCATGCCAAATGGGAATGAATCGTCTGTGAGAATTGGTGAGCTGAGGGAATATAAGTTATGGACGTCCTCCTGGATAATAAGAGATGGCATCTGGTACATCACTGGGTCAGCTATCGTGTGGGAACTCTCCCCGTGGTCAGGTCCTGCCTTTCTGAACTTGGATTTACTGGACTTGGAAGACTCAGTGACTCCTCCCAGCTTATGCTTTCCAAGTGACTGTGATTTTGGCACAGAGCGAGCCTTGAGATCGGTTATGGGGAACACAGATGAAGCCCACCCGTGGAAATCTTCATTACAAGTTCTAGCAGCATCCCTTGGGCATAAAAACACGTTCTTTGTCAGGCATTTCAAAGAAAGATATTCATAAGTTTGCTATGGATTTCATTGACAAAAAGAGAACAACCCACCCCATGTGATCCATTGCATATTTTCAAGTCTTACAGCCAAAACTTTTAGTTTTTTAAAGATGCATCTATGATAATCCAGGATAAGACTGGACCTTTTCAAAGGACTAATGAACTAACCAATCAGTGAACTCATTGCAATACAACACCCAAAGGAGGAATCAGGACACGGACGTCATAACTTAATATGATTGTTGGAACACTAAGGGAAAAGGAACTATACCTGAAACGAATCTCTGCGACTTCTGTTACCCTTCGAGCGCCAGAAGACTCAACAGCATCCAGGTTGATCGGGGACAAGTCAACTGCATCCGATACTGTTAAGTTAATTGAGGATGGGAATGACACGTTAATATCATTCTCTCCCTCAAACTCGAGTGTTAGCTCCAACTGTTCTGTAGCGACTGATGCACGCCCCCCGTGATAGGAAAGGGACTTCTTATCATCCGTCCTCGTACAACCAGCATCATTAAGTGCAGCAGCTATTAACTTACAATTGTGGCTTGTGTTGCCAAATTTCAACTTCCCTGTAGTTTCCCTCCCCAAATACCGAGTAATATGGTTACCAGTTGGAAAGTACCTTCCACCAGAATAGAGACCATTCCTAGCAAGTGAAGTATCGAAACCACGGTTCCCACGTATTCTTGCCTTCCACACAGATGAGAGCAGGGCAGTGAAATGTTTCTGAAGTAGGTACTCACTATCAGGCTGCTCAGCAGCAACGTCTAACAGTACTCGAATATGTTCCTGAAACAGAAGAGATTGATGACTGGTGAATTCTTTTATCACATATATTGAAAAGTTGGAGCGCACCGAAATATTCTTAAGAAATATGACACAAAACTGAAACCCGAAACACGATTTCTAAAGAACTGACCAAGTAAATCTGCAACATACCCAAGTTTCATGAACCAGAGAAGAGAACAGATAATAACATGCGCATCAACAAAATCATTAGCTAACCTCTGTGATTCTGAGAAGAGCTTTTCCAGAGCTAGCATTTGTGGTCTTCTCACTATTTGGATTATCTGGTGCAGATATAACATACCTTTGTATGAGTTCCCTATACCTCTCACAACAATGGACAGGATGTCGGTATCTCCCTCTATAAAACCCACCAGCAGTCATACTGAATAAGGTTGAACTAATCATGCTCCAATGCGAACCATATTCATGTACCATCGCGCACAATATTGCATCCTCTTGTGGCAACCAAAAGTCAGGGGAAGGAATACAGTCCCTTGACCAAATGTTCCCCTTCTTTATTTTCTCTGGTTTTATCATTAGAACTCTCTTTACTGGCATGGAAGTAATAGATATTTTTCCTCCCATTCTACTACGACCAACTAATTTATGTTCGAGATCCGCACCAGTCTCCCGTGGTTTTATTTCTATAGCTTCATCATATTGCACTCCTGACTCACTGAGATGGAGATCTAGTGGGAAAGCATCCGCAATATTTTTCTTGAACTTTTTAGATTTCTTCTTCAGGGACTTTCCTGTCTCACTGTCCAGACTAAACTCACCCCTTTTACGTTTTTTCTGTAAGCTTGACTGAGCTGATAAAGATTCAAGAACATCTTCACTACATAAATCTTCATCATCTGTAGACATGAATTCCACGGACATTTCTTTTTTCACTGATTTCAGCTCAGAAGAAAGAGAACCCTTCTTTAGAGATTTGAACTTGGCTTTCTTTGATTTCTTTTTAGACTTCGGTTTTAGTTCACTAGGTGTTGCATTCCTGCAAAGAAAATAGGAGTTGATCTGATTAAAGAACCCTCAATTGTGAAAACAAAGGGCATAACCCAATGTCATACAAAAATCAACATTACCAAGGTTATTGAATCTGAAACTCTTATCCTTGTTACTATTGATTGATCTCGCTATAAGATTTTGTTGTTCCATATATTTCATAATCTAAATATCAGCATGGAAAAATAATGTGTATGTTGAATTATTAATAAAATCAAAGGTACCCTAACACTTCAGTTTAAGCTTTTGGATTGAGTTGATTTAACATGGTATTAGAGCAAAAAGTCTCGTGTTCAAACCCTATAACGTCATTTTCTCACTAATTAATATTGATTCTCACTTATTAGCTTCCTATAAATTTCCAAGTCCAAAATGTCATCCTAACGTATCAGTGTAGTTTTAAGGTTCAGATGTGATTCAACATCAGTAGAAGTTAACATATTTTGATATTCCAAACTAAATATGCAAGGATCTCATTAACATATATGTATGCATGTATGTATGTACACAAGCATGCATGCACGCACGAAAGGATGTTATCTCAAACAACCAGAGCAA